TTCACCTACACTGCCATCACTAATATGCACCTTCATATACATTCATTTATTTACTGTACTATACGGTATATATGTATATACATGTATATGCATACGTGTTTATGTATATGTGTATTGATATATGTACATTGTTATATAACACGTGTATGTGTGTTTTTTTCTTTTATTTATCTATCTTTATTATTTTCACCCTCTCCTGTATTGAGCTGCAGTAATGTGCAAATTTCTCCACTGTGGAAATCAATAAAGTTTGATATTATCTTAATTTGGTGTGGTAGTAGCTGAGATCGATCCCAAAAAATACAGTATTCTGAGTGCTAACAGTGTGCAATATCAAAATACCTCATGAAGGAATTTCAAACTTTCATGAAATAATCATTAGATGTAGAAGACAAGGTCAATTAGCCATAGGTCTCTAAAGTATTCACTTTCATTAAATACTAGGGTTTAAAAATACTTCTTTGGAAGTAGAAGTATCAACTCAAATTTTTTACTCAAGTAAAAGTGTACTGGTTTTAAACTACTTAATACTTTAAGTAGTTTATCCATCAGGTGTGATGGATCGAGTACAAACCAACAGGAGGTCAGATGTTTAATATTTATACTTCTCATCCAACCACAAGTAATGTCACTCTATCTAGGAAGCAACGTTTATTAGGATTTATTTATTTTTGTAATTTTTCTGAATGATGACAAGCTGTAATGAAAACAATCTGAAGTGAAACAGAAATGAAATACTGTCTGCATTTTTAAAWTGTAAGGAATAAAAAGTAAAACGTTGTCTAGTAGAATTACTCCAGTAACAACCTAAATTTCTACTTAAGTAAAATAAAGTATGTCTACTTTAATTGACACCTAAGTAATTAGCTGTAGATGTGATCCAGTGTTTATTTTCTGAGAGTTTTGTTACAATCCATCCAGTAGTTTATCTGGAGTATAAACAGGATCTACATGAGGATGAAGCAGACTCTGATCCAGACTCCACCTTAAGACGTGGCATGCTGCTGGTCTGAGGGGGATGGGGGGAGATTTTACACAACCAGCTGTAACTTAAAGCCTTTATAGAAACTAGAAACTATATAAGAGAAGGCTTTGATTTTCCAGGACCCCCTCGGGTCAGGGTACCTTGAAATATGCGACCTGTAAATAGTTATAGGGGGTCCTCTTCTTGAACTCCAGCTCCACTTCCTCACTGACTTGATGCAGAGATGAAGAYCCGAGCTTCTCCTTCTCACAGCCGCTCACGCAGTCTGCCCGCCTCAGGACTTTCTGGAAGAAGCCCAGGTCCTCCACCGAACCCGCTCCGGGTACGGGAACTCCCAGGCCGGCTATGGGCTCACCCAGGGCGGTGCTGTTGGCGCAGCTGAGCCGGCACCGAGCCTTGACCCTGCGRACCGTGGCTTTGTTCCGGAGCGCCTTCTCCATGTTCAGGATGACGGACAGCCAGTCCCCCTTGTTGTAGGCTTCCACCGCCGAGTCGAACAGGAAGTCGTACGGAACCACCGCCGAACCCCTCAGGTCCGGGTCCGAACTGCACAGCTGCACGGAGAGGACCAGAAACACCAGGATAGATGGGAACGCCATGCCGGGACAGAGACCTGCAGCCTGGCTGGACGTGGAACCAAGAAGCCGGTGGACCCGGGTCTGGAGCAGGAGGAGGAGCAGGAGSAGGAGGAGGARGAGGAGGACTCCAGCAGGCAGGAACTTTCTGTGGAGGCGGGGTTGTAGCAGCTCGGCCACGGAACACCCCCCAAGAATACCTGCAACACTGCATTTGAACAAACAACTCTGCTATTTGAACATACATACATATACATTTATAAACCGTATAAAAGATAACACTGAACATCATGAGCATTGAAAAAGAAAAAAAATTGTGTAGGTCTTCTGGACGGGTTCTTCTCTAATGAAACGTTTCGTCCCTCTCATACACCAGGAGGACTGCGACCAGTTATACATCGGGGAAACAAAGCAGCCACTGTTCAAAAGAATGTCCCAACAC